GCGCCGGGGGGGCCCGCCCTGGCCCTGCCAGGGACAGGGGCTGCTCCAGCCAGCTGGAGCAGCCTGTGCCTGTGGTGCACCACTCGGGCTGAGCCCACCATGGACAGGGGCTGCTCCGGTGGGCCCCATGGGTCTGGAGCAGCCTCCTGCTCAGGGTGGGGGGGAGCTGCTCCAGTCCCTACCAGTTAACCGGAACTGGTAAGCCTCACCCATTAAGAATGAAGCTAACCAGTTAACCATTTCTGTCCCTAATTGGAATACATCTTCTCCAGCCCATGAGTCCGTTCTGTGGCTCTTTTCTGCGTCCTCTCCAGTTTTTCAACATCCTTTGGAATATGTGGACAGCAGGGCGGAGTAGCCATATGCTCAAACGCTTCTCTCCCAACAGCAGACGCTGGCCCGGTTAACAAATAAGACCTCCCCCTTTGTGTCCTTAATACCCTGGGATCTACAGGGCTGTCTCATCAGCACCATGGCTTGCCCCTTTGCAGTGGGACTAAGAAGGGAGGCTACGTGGGGCAGGCGTCGCTCCGGGGGGGTTGCCGCCAGCGGAAGAGACGGGCCCGGCGGGGTGGCTGGGAAAGTTTCCTGGCTCTGAACCCCGCAGCAAGTTAGGGCTGAACAGATGTGTAAGTGCATGACATGTTAGCAGTTACACGACTATCCCGCAGTCCCAGGGGGTGGCAGCCAGTGTGCTCCGGCCCCACTCCCGGGGAGCCCCCCTATCTCCCCTCGCTGCTGCCTCTGTAGCCTGGTTCTGGCCAGTCTCTGACTCGGCCAGACAGCTCCAAGCGCCGGCCAGGGGCGCGAGGACCACAGCGCCAAGCTGGTTTTTGTGAAAGTTTAGCGTGCGCCCCGACCGGCAGCAGGCCCAGCTCAGCCCTTCCGCGGCACAACAGCACCATCACTCACCCGGCAGGCTGGCAACACCGCTCATGAGGACTTCCAGGTTCACGTCCTTCGCTGTGCTGGGCGCAATTTGACAGCTCCTGGGTGCCCCGGAAGAGGAGGTCTCCTGGTGAATGACGGCTGCTGAGCCTTCCTCTTGGGAGCAGACTCCACCCCCGGGCTCCCAGGAACGTGTGCAAGATCCGTCCTGTATCTTTTCTCCCCCTTCCCGCTGCGGTCCTGAAAGAGAAGAGTGAGCCTGGCTGCTGACAGGAGCCGGGGGACAGATCACAGCCCCAGGCAGAGGTGTCAGCCAACACACTCCAGACACAAGAGACCTGCCAGGACGGCGCGGACGCAGGGTGCCCCAACACGCTTCAACAGCTCCGGCAGTTACTAAGTCAACCGCTGCATCCCCAGCTGCTGTCCCTTACAGCGGCTCATGGACCGGCAGCTTTCTAGCAGCCCACACCAGAGCCAGGTTCCGGTCCCGGGGCAGCAGCTTTCTGCTCCGCTACAAAAAGGGGTGTGGCTCCCCCCTTCGCTCACCTGACGCAGACACAGACATGGAGGCTCTCCACTGCCGCTTGACATGGGAGGACCGTGGACTCAGGAGTGAACGCTGCTTACACGCCCTGTAATACTCCCAAGCTCCCTTTCCCCAGTGTTGAAAGAAATGCCTTAAGTGGCGGTTGTGCCCTACAAGAACTCTGGGCAGCAGGTGGGACCCATGACGGACACGTTGCGGGTTATCTCATGATGAAATCGCTCTCTGGGGGAGCCCCACTCAGGATACACTGGCCCACCCCGGGGAAGTGAGCCAGGCACTGCGAGACAGGGGATTGGCGTTTCATAGACACATCGATTCCAAGGCCAGATGGGCCACCGTCACGTCACCATCATCACCGTTCTCCATCCCCTACACAACGCCGAGCAGAACCCCCCCACCGCCCCCAGCCCATCGATTAGAAAATGACCCGTACGGAGAGCCCCCCACAATGCTTGGGAACCGGTTCCAATGGCTAGTTACTCTCAGCGGCAAACATGGACACCCTCCTTCCTGTCTGATTTTGTCTGGCTACAACTTCCACCCTCCGACCACGCGTGGCCCCTCTCTGCTAGACTGACGAGCCCGCCACTAAATCTCCGCTCCCCATGCCGAGACGTCACAAGTGTCATCCCCGGCCTTCTCCTGGCTAGGTTACACAGGCTGAGCTCTGGGCGGCTGGGCTCCGTCACGGTTTCTAGCCCTTAAATCTTTCTCCCGGCTCTTCTCTGACCCCCTCAGTTCATTCAACAGCCGTTTTGAATTGTAGACACCCACACTGGACAGGGGATTCCAGCAGCAGCTGCACCAAATACCGAGGAAAAAGAACCTCTCGACGTCTACTCCAGATTCCCCTGTTCATGCATGATGGCATGTCAAATGCCACAGGGCCAAGAATCAATGGCGGTGGGAACACTTCCCCCCGAAACTCCAGTTTCCAATGACGTTTTGGGAGCTAGCCACCCATTTTCAATCCCTTCCACGTATGCCATGTGCATTGGACACTGTCTGGGGTTTAATCACAATGTCAAAAGCCTTACAGCAACCTAAGCGTAAGAAGGCAACCCTGTTCCATTCACCAGCCACGCTTAGACACAGTCCTAGTGTCACATGCCTCTTGTGTGTTTAGACACTAGAAGCTGCGACAGAGACTCCCGTATAATGTGCGGCCCAAAGCACCTGTCTGACAGGACCTTGGGCAAGCTCCCACGGATGTCCCCTGTAAAAGGGGAGAATGCGAGTTACCCCTTGAGGGAACCACACAAACCCAAATTTCATGGCGAGTGTTATGAGGGGAGCAGGCACATTAACAGCAGCCTGAAAACAGAACCCGTGGGCCCTACGCTTGCAGCGGAACGCACAAGCTACAGCAGGACTGGTCTGAAATCCCCCCGGCTAGAACCAAGGGCTGCGGTGCTTGAGTGTGGGGATCCCGCTGCGAGTCGGGGACTCGGCTACGAAGGGCGTCGCGACAGACTGGGGCTATCCTCGGAGACCCTGCGCAATTACGGAATTAAGATACTTCTCAGTGAATCTGGGTGAATGCCTTTGGCCCCGCTGGATGCCAAACGCAGTTGTGCACATGCCCATGGGCAGGATAAATAGGGGACCAGCAGGGAGAGCTTGGGCACTTTCCCTCAGGTGGGCCATCTCCGGAGAAGCCAACCTGAAGATATGAGGGCACTGCATCCAGGCTGAATACGCACCACACGCAGACCGGGTAAATACCATGGGAAATGTTAACCGGTTAAACGATTTAATTTTAATCCGTTAATCGGTTAAAACCCCCCCTCCCAGCACAGTCTGCTCCAGGCAGGGGCCCCTGCCTCCGAGGCTTCTGCTGGCCAGCCCGCCGCGGGGCTGGGGGTGGCCTGGCTCCACCCAACC